ATGACAGCGTCACGCGCCTTCTTTTTGAACGTGATTCTTCTTCAATCCCTCATTGAAGAAAAATCACGTTCAAAAAGCAGGCGCGTGCGGAGGGGGCGGAATATTTGACAAATTACGCTACAGCACTTATATTTGTGCACTGATTGGCTATTAACTGTGAGCAGACAGCGTGTCAATCAATGTATTGGAGAATACAGTGAACATAAATGAAAAGAAACGAAGTTGCAACAGCAAATGGTTCAAAACAGTATATTATAATAAAAAAATTATGACTTTCATAAATATTTCTAATTGCATTTAATGTTTTCATTTTTGATGTACAATTATAACTTTTTAAAAAAAAATGTTATTTTATGTTTGTGCTTTTGGAAATGAATCTTTATCAATCCTAATTAAGCTTGTGATGTTGCAATTTAGGCAAATTTTTTAGCAAATTATGTGCTTTCTTCCATTTTTAATATTTTCCCATTACATTTAAACAGTAACATTATGTAAGCCTAAACAATCCATGAAACAATCTTCATTATATAGTCCACCCTGGCCCCACATGTTCCAGAATGAAAATGAAATGAAAATGATTTGATTTTACAGCGAGACATCGATTGAGATCCGTGTACTTTTGGCTTTTCGTAACAGACAGTGAAGGTGCTCAAATGAAGATGACTGTCATGATTATATGAAGTGAAGTCCATCCCCCGCATGCAGGGCTTAATTTGTGCAGGTGTGGAACAAGCCGGATCCTAATCCGCCACCTCCGAATTTGTCCGAAATCTGATCCGGCACCTCATTTGACAGATCTCCTCCTCACGCGCCAATGAAAGACGTGTTGACCTATAGCGTGCATATATTTCATGCAAAAAACTTCTATTATGAGCAGGCTTGCCTAGCATGTACATTTGAAACAACAAACTTGAGCGCGCAAAGAGATGCGACGTGGCTGCTCTCACAAACCCGAATGCACGGATCCAATACTGATACACATGCGTTTTCTTTCTCAGATGTTTACATTTAGTTGAGACAAAACCGACTGCTTACGAGGATAATCGCCAGGACGGCCATTTTGACGTCATTGTTGTGTGTGTATTTGGCCGCGTAAGCGCAAAAAATAACTCAATTTGGTACTCGCCAGGCGGCGCGATATGCGCTATGGATGTGACTGTGAGCGCATAGGAAACCCCCTTTGGAGCACGCGAGTATCGAATGGCTTAAACTTAAAAAGATGTGCAAATGATACAGTTTTGTGACGATGCAACAATGACTCGATTAGGCAAGTGACAATTCTGTCGACTGTCCCGAAACCCGAGCAAAAGTCTTGTATCGCAGCGTGCAGTAGTGCAGACGAGATGCGCTGTTGTGAAGCCGCTGTGAGTGAGAAAAGACGCGGTACAGCTGAATCACTCACGCTGTTTTCAAATGACTGATTTAATCTGATAGTATGTGTGGATTTATTTACTCATCTAACCTACATGCTCTATTGAATATGTTTGCAGGAATTTCCCTCATTATAAACTCGAAAGCAGATTAAACATAATTATATTATACAGAGATTTAAGGGGGAAAAAATCCATGACTTTCCCAAAACCTTTCCAGGTCTGTTTTAAAATTTCATGACTTTTCAATTTTTTTCATGACCGTAAGAAGATGCACGCTGTTAATCACGTAAGCTGGTCCTCCATTGCG